AGGCGGACCCCGGCTCTGTCTTCTGCGTGTGTTTCATCCCCTGTGAAGTGTGCGTCTTTGTACTTCAGTAATAAGGCCTTCTGTATCTGCAATTATCTGAGCTGAGCTGCCTGGGCCAGTGCACTGTCTTATCCCTGCCAATCCCACTCATTACAGGCAGTGCTGTGGTGTGTGGACGCAGAGAAAGGCCTGAAGAGACGTGGGTAATAAATATGTAGTAGTAGAGTCCTCTTTTCCATCTGTCGTAAATAAGACTGGATAAAAAAGTAAAATATCTACAAGCCGCAATACAGTTTGGAGAGGGATAATTTGCTTCTAACAACTCTCACTCGCAACACACACACAAACACGCAGCGCATGCACACGTATCCATACAACACACATGCATATATACATACAACACACACACACATATACATACAACACATATACATACATAGAACACACACACACACACAGACATACAACACACATCAAACACTTAGGCAAGAAAAAGGTTCTTTGTGTAATCATATTTGAAGATAACTGAGACACACACATGCGCACACACACACACACACACACACACACACACACATGTTGTGCAGCTCTGAATTCTCAGCCCAGATTAAAAAATGTCCCTTGGATGCATAATTTACTTTTAATAGCACCTCAGTGGGTAAATGAGAGAGGGACTATTATAAGAAACCTGCTCGTAAAACTTTCCTGATGCAGAAGAGAACAAGATCAGGGAGACGAGGGCCATTTATGGACCCTGGAATGGATCTATAATAATAACTGGAAAGGGTATTACTAGCTTATAGCAGTCCCACCTATGGGCACAAGGGGCGCCGTGGTACTGCAGACTGAATTCACATTACCCAGAAAAAAGTCCCATAGAACTCATTGTAAACTAAAATAGCTTGACCTCAGCTGACAGAGAACCTGACAGAGAACCTCACAGAGAACCTGACAGAGAACCTCACAGAGAACCTGACAGAGAACCTACAGAGAACCTGACAGAGAACCTGACAGAGAACCTACAGAGAACCTGACAGAGAACCTGACAGAGAACCTACAGAGAACCTACAGAGAACCTGACAGAGAACCTACAGAGAACCTGACAGAGAACCTACAGAGAACCTGACAGAGAACCTGACAGAGAACCTACAGAGAACCTGACAGAGAACCTGACAGAGAACCTACAGAGAACCTACAGAGAACCTGACAGAGAACCTGACAGAGAACCAGAGAACCTGACAGAGAACCTGACAGAGAACCTGACAGAGAACCTACAGAGAACCTACAGAGAACCTGACAGAGAACCTACAGAGAACCTGACAGAGAACCTGACAGAGAACCTACAGAGAACCTACAGAGAACCTGACAGAGAACCTGACAGAGAACCTACAGAGAACCTACAGAGAACCTGACAGAGAACCTACAGAGAACCTGACAGAGAACCTCACAGAAAACCTGACAGAGAACCTACAGAGAACCTGACAGAGAACCTCACAGAAAACCTGACAGAGAACCTACAGAGAACCTACAGAGAACCTGACAGAGAACCTCACAGAGAACCTGACAGAGAACCTGACAGAGAACCTAAAGAGAACCTACAGAGAACCTGACAGAGAACCTGACAGAGAACCTACAGCTCTCACAAAGGTCGGATTTTGTGAGGATTTTAGTGTCCCTTGTCATCCTAAACTTTTTTCTACTTCGGTTTTCTTTAAAGCCACACCCTACTGCCACAAAGCTGACCAGCATCTGGGTAAGTACAGTATGGTTTGTGACGTCTGATATGGTCTAATTGATTTGTCATAAAAAGGTATGTAAGTGGTGACAATATTCCAAAAACTAATGTTAGCCAACAAGAAAGGACTTTAAAACATAAAAATAATATTATGTGTTCTGGCGAGTTCATACTGACACCTGATGTTATGGTTTACCTGCTAACCTAGGCCTACCCTGGATGTCTCACTTTTCCCACTGGGTTTAGAGTTTTTCCATTCTGATGCAGGAGGGTCTGGTAGAGTCTTGTGAGGGCTAACTAAAAGGACTGTGGTGAAGATCCAGGACCAGGGGGGTAGCACCAAATTCAGGGCCCCGGGTACAAACAGTCTCAATGGGCCCCCACTACACGTTTCTTATATATATATATATATATATATATATATATATATATAATATATATATATATATATAAATTTAATTAGTTAATACAATTCTGATTCATGTCCTTTGGTTTTATTATCATCAATATTGTTGATGGCCATTAGCGGACTTGGCATACTGGAGATAATTTGGGAATGGTTTGCCCTCCATATCTTTGGGTATGGTATTGCCTATTTTTGAACCACCATCACTGGCTAGTAATGAACAATTATTTTCCTTTGTTTATCGGTGAGATTCTCTGGCCATAATCCTGGGTTCTCTGACAATCCCTCATCATTATTACTCTGTCTCTTGGTGTCGTCTCTTTCCTCCTCAATCCTCTCCACATTCTCATCACTTTCGCTTTCCCTTTCATCACTTAATTCAGTTTCTACATCCTCTTCTAATTCTGCCTCTGCCTCTGCTACATGGACACAATACAGACAAAAATGATATAGAATTAGTGTATACAGTAAAACTTATAAAGTAATAACTTACTAACTTATTGAAAACAGTTCAATCAGTGACTGATAAATGCTCACCATGCCTCACTGTCAAACCCTCACTACTAGTGCCTTCATCTGGCCATGATGCTTCTCTTCCTGAAACTGAAATAAAGTAGCTTTAATGGGTTGCAAACAGATACTATATTCCATCATTACAGTGTATAGCTATTACGTATATGCCTGCATGCCTTTATGTGATATGTGTATATGGCTATTCATATAAAATATATAGTATATTTTATCTTATTTGTATGGACCATGAGTAGGTAAGTTACTTATTTGTTATTGTACAAACATACAACAAAATACTTTTTATGGTTCATTATTATCCACCAATTTAGACTTTGTGAAAATTCAATCGATGCAATCTTTTTTGAAATAAGCCTATTCCATTTTCAACTAAACACCTGTGCCTAGCCTTACTCCGCCCACATGAACATTTGAAATTTTTCTGTAAAAATGGCACCAGTGGAGAAGGGGGGCTTACAGTTGGGCATGGTCTGGGCTGTGATTGTCAGTTGTCATTTCTGGCTTAAAAGCAATAGTTTACACACCAGAAAGTCTCATTTCACCCTTTAGACCATTAGACTTATTTACATTATTTTGACCACTAGATGTCACCAGAAACCTCCAAATCGGTGCGGGGGCGTGTGATTAGTATGGTTATAACCAGATGATCCAATGCAGAGGCCAGTGAGTGACCCGTGACTTATGACTGCAAGACTCGGACGGACAGATTATGACAATAGTGGGAATATAGGGTACAGGGTTACATGAAAATAACTCTTTGCTGCCTGCCTTTGAAGGAGAAGTGGACAGCAGTGTGTGTGAGCTCCCTTTACAGCTGCGCGTCTGTGTGTGTCACTCTGGATAAGGTTTTTTTTTTACCACGTACACAGCACACTGTTAGCTCTCCGTGAGTTTAGAATACAGAAACAAATGTCTCTGGGTTTTCTCCTGATGTGGCCTTAACACGTCTCTATTTACTCACCTCTCATGTGGAAGAACTGAGTAAGCAATTGCTTGCCCTCATTACACTTTTTCTCCCTGTCCTGTCTTTCTTTTCTTTTCTGAAATCCTGATTTTCCTTTCTTTGGAAAAGACATTTCTATTTTTCCCGCTTCTGCCGCTGCTTGTCAAAGAAGTCAACTCGCTGCAGCGGCAGCAACACAGCAACAAGCGCACATGTGGGTCGTACCATTTGATCTTTTGTAAGGGGGTGGCAGGGCCCTGATACAGCATACAAATTTGTTTTTAGAGGAAAACTGAGGTTAAAACGTTGGTTATTTTTATACAGGGCCCCTTTCATTCAAATTGTAATAATATGAATATACCATAATGCCTAATACATATAAATATAAAGACACACTTTAGAGGGCCCCTCCCCGCCTTGGGCCCTGGGTACTCGGTACCCTTTACCATTACATTTATGGACATTGGTCTCTGAAATCGAACAAAAACGCAACCATTATTGATGTGGGCCCAACAAAAATGCATTGAGTTGATATTGAGATAACAAAATGTCTGTAAGGTGTAAATCAGAAGGCATTTATGTATGGCTTTATCTCCTGCAGGGTCCAATAAAACATGCAATCGGAGCCGTAAGGAACATCTTTGGTTTCTCTGTTCTTTCCCACAAACTCGGGGTCATTAGAACGCTTCAACACCGAGCCCACCAGGTCCCCACAAGCTCAGAGGGAAAGAACAGAGAAACCAAAGATGTTCAGAGAGCACTTTCCAGATGTGGCTACCCCAAGTGGTCTTTTACTAAAGCCCAAAGGACGAGAAAGGCCAGAGACACAGTCCAACAGACAGAAGAAAGTAGGAGGAGAGGGGTCGTTAGACCTGCTCCCTTCTACATCAGACCTTAGATTGTTTATGAGTTAGTATCAGGATTAGGGTGTGGCTAACCACACCCATAGGTTATAAATCTCCAACGCGCGGTCCGAGAATTCATTCCCTGAAGAAGTCCGCTAGTTTGAGGACGAAACGTCGGGAAAACTTGCTAAGAAGTACAGATGATGGGTGAGAAACCTTCCTTTGCTTTGACTAATCCCTGTACGACTGAGGGCTTACACAAAATAAAATACATTGTTTTAGCCGAGGCTCAGAACGAGTCGTTGAAAACATTCAAATCTACTTCAAATATCCATGTTTTATATTCATCAAAAAGGCATTGACTTCAGCCCAAACCGAAGCTGGAGGCCGTAGACAGAGCTCTCATGTGTTTGATGCTGACGATGAAATGACAAAGGCCCGGAGCGACAGGAGTTGGGGAAGAACTTAAACATTTGAAAGCAGGATTTCTTTGTGATGCTAATGATTAAAAACAGTTTGATTTCTGTTTACCTCCAGGTCATGTCGTCACCCACGGCAACAAGAGCAGACGTCAAGGTATTTGTCATCACGGCAAGGATAACGACATTTCACATTTCACTAAAATCATATTTAGAATGTGTTTACTTGTAGCTTGACAAATATGGTCATGCCTAAATAATACTTCCTTTTTGTTCTTGGAGCAGATTTGACACAAAATATACAACATTATACAAACTATACTGAATATATTAGTCATAATAATCCAAAAACAAAAAGAAAGAAACGTCCTCTCAACTCTGTTCTTATTGGACGAGCACGGATCACCAGAATGATTGACAATTAGGAGGACCAATAGTCTTAATGATCCACCTGGAGTAGAAATCCCTCCTATACAAGTAACTATAACTTCTAGTTACATTTTAGTTAACATTTTAGAACAGATACAATTATCTGGTTGTTTCAGCTCAGGAAAGCCAAGCTGCTGCACAGATGTTGGTGCAGTTCTACACGGCCATCACCTCCTCCATCACCTCCTCCATCACCTCCTCTATCACCGCCTCATCACCTCCTCCATCACCTCCTCCATCACCTCCTCCATCACCTCCTCCATCACCTCCTCCATCACCTCCTCTATCACCGCCTCCATCACCTCCTCCATCACCTCCTCCATCACCTCCTCCATCACCTCCTCCATCACCTCCTCCATCACCTCCTCTATCACCGCCTCATCACCTCCTCCATCACCTCCTCCATCACCTCCTCCATCACCTCCTCCATCACCTCCTCCATCACCTCCTCTATCACCGCCTCCATCACCTCCTCCATCACCTCCTCCATCACCTCCTCCATAACCTCCTCCATCACCTCCTCCATCACCTCCTCCATAACCTCCTCCATAACCTCCTCCATCACCTCCTCCATCACCTCCTCCATCACCTCCTCCATTCCCTCCTCCATCACCTCCTCCATCACCTCCTCCATCACCTCCTCCATCACCTCCTCCATCACCTCCTCCATCACCTCCTCTATCACCTGCTCCATCACCTCCTCCATAACCTCCTCCATAACCTCCTCCATCACCTCCTCCATCACCTCCTCCATCACCTCCTCCATCACCTCCTCCATTCCCTCCTCATCACCTCCTCCATCACCTCCTCCATCACCTCCTCTATCACCTCCTCCATCACCTCCTCTATCACCTCCTCCATCACCTCCTCTATCACCTCCTCTATCACCTCCTCATCACCTCCTCCATCACCTCCTCCATCACCTCCTCCATCACCTCCTCCATCACCTCCTCTATCACCTCCTCCATCACCTGCTCCATCACCTCCTCTATCACCTCCTCTATCACCTCCTCATCACCTCCTCCATCACCTCCTCCATCACCTCCTCATCACCTCCTCCATCACCTCCTCCATCACCTCCTCTATCACCTCCTCTATCACCTCCTCTATCACCTCCTCATCACCTCCTCCATCACCTCCTCCATCACCTCCTCCATCACCTCCTCATCACCTCCTCTATCACCTCCTCATCACCTCCTCCATCACCTCCTCCATCACGTCCTCCATCACGTCCTCCATCACCTCCTCCATCACCTCCTCCATCACCTCCTCCATCACCTCCTCCATCCACCTCCTCTATCACCTCCTCATCACCTCCTCCATCACCTCCTCCATCACCTCCTCTATCACCTCCTCCATCACCTCCTCTATCACCTCCTCTATCACCTCCTCATCACCTCCTCCATCACCTCCTCCATCACCTCCTCTATCACCTCCTCCATCACCTCCTCTATCACCTCCTCCATCACCTGCTCCATCACCTCCTCTATCACCTCCTCTATCACCTCCTCATCACCTCCTCCATCACCTCCTCCATCACCTCCTCTATCACCTCCTCTATCACCTCCTCTATCACCTCCTCATCACCTCCTCCATCACCTCCTCCATCACCTCCTCCATCACCTCCTCAATCACCTCCTCTATCACCTCCTCATCACCTCCTCCATCACCTCCTCCATCACGTCCTCCATCACGTCCTCCATCACCTCCTCCATCACCTCCTCCATCACCTCCTCCATCACCTCCTCCATCACCTCCTCTATCACCTCCTCATCACCTCCTCCATCACCTCCTCCATCGAGTCCATCCTCACCTCCTCCATCACCGT